AGTACGCAGACCAAACTGCTTATAATGCCATAAGTTAATTGGCGGCTTAAGTTTGGTAAGCTCGTCGCTTGGTGAGGGGGCTACCCTGTCCTCTGCACGGCAGTAACGTGTAAGTCAGTGAATAGTGAGCGGCGCCAAATCACATCTAGTAACTTATTCACGATGGTCGTTGCCGTCCCCCGTAGCTCAGTGGTCTCAACCACGGACTGGCAACAGTCGAGTTGCGGGTTCGAGCCCTACCAAGGGTCCGATGGAATGCGCACTGCTGATGATTCCCGAAAGGATGAAACGCGCGTACAGTGCTTTTCCGAGCGTGTGGCGGCTGTCTGAGTGAGTCTAGATGTGACGAATTTCTACCTATACCATTCAACTCTCCCTACTACTCTTCTATAAATATCTGTTCACCAATGTTTCCATTTGTTACCTGACTGTGAGTAATCACGCTGATGTCCTATTCGCCTAACTCTTCAGCGGTTTATATCTCTCAGTCAACTCAGGAAGCATAATATCGACACATATATGCTGAGAATGCACCCACAAGGGTGGATTTAGCTTAATTTGACTTGACTTGATTGTGGTTCTTTGACTAATGTTCAGATAGTTCTATAGTTTAGATTGTTTAAACGTTTAAAATAAGGTGTAAACTGTTGGCTGTTACGTAGGCAGAGAAAAAGTAACTGATTGCGGTATTAGGAGGGAAAATCTCTGCACTCGAGTTGCACATTAGTGTATTACGTAGCTTCAATCCCAGACCTGTTAAATGACAAAGCTCTCTAGCAAATATGCTACACAGTCCAGCAAAAGACAAAGACCAGTGGAGACAAAAAGCAGTGAACAGTTGAACGGTCTCCCAAGTCTCATGAAATGCTGCAAAACGATGTGAAGTTACGCAAAAATTTGCGCGCTCACCTCTGTCATTAGCTGGGTAACAACACTTGAATTCTACTGATAGTTCAACTAATGACGTTACAAGTAAACCGTCTCGCTCTAGCGCTGGACTGATTTCCACGGGAGACAAAGCAAACACTCCCAAACGACAAACCTCCGCTCACGAAGAATTGCAGAAAAAACAGTTACTACGCAACCAAAAGGCGTTGACAGTTATGTGTTCAAACGTCCCAGAATCCACCAGTGAATCGTTAAAAAGCAGATAAACCGAGCAACAAAACCGCTGGGTTAAGAGATCCTTGCACTCAGGCTAAAAGTTCTCCCAAGTAGTGTTAATCGCCTTTCACGAAATCTATCATTTCCGCGCTTAGGGGCATCGCGGTTACTGCAAGTAAAATTTGGTAACACGCGACCTGGAAGATGTTCTCTTGGCAAGTCACATTCTAGTGAACTGTCAGCACTCACAATTTTCCGGATAAACCATGGGCAGAAAAGCAGAAGCGGAAATCTAACCGGAACGTGCCACCTCAAAATGGTACTTCATGGTGTGCCAAAATTGAAACATGACAACAGCTGTGTACAACAAAAGTACGACATCGGAGTATGTACATCACGGAATTCTATAACACACAAAACGTCATCGTTTTAGACGTCACCCGCCTAGTTGCCTCCAAAAACTACCTAGGCAGCAGGTCGGGAATTTTGCCCGAAATGGTATCAGTGGCGATCCAAGCATGGGAAGACAGCAGGAAATTCGGGCCACCAGAGCTACGATTAGGACCAGTACGTCAAGTAGTACAGTTACAGATGAACCAGTCTCAGTTGTTCTTAACATAGACCAGCCAACCATAGAATAACATAATGCGTCAGCTGTACGCTGTAACCATAGAAACACACGTTTTAATAAAGGCCAGCAGACCGACACTATTTGTGCCAATCACAAACAGCGAATCGAGCTCCTAATTGGTCAACAAATACAATGCTGCTACGCCAACATTCAAGACCAAGCTGTCGGAAGTGCGCCATCGACATGAAACAACAAATTAGGACAGATGGAAATTGGGTGCTGCCCGCCCGAAAACACTGCACCCAATTTCCATCTGCTTTGACTACGGTCCCAGTGATCACATTGACTAAGGTTCACTTCAATGTGAACCGCGGTCCACTTTGAGATTGCGCGTCGCAATCCAATCACATAACGTGTAGTCCAAAAGTGACCCTCCAACAAATTAGAACATTATAGCAGTGGCTGAAACTTGGCTCACAAATGAAATACTAGATCCGGAGAATGAACTCAATGAGATGTCAGTCACCCAAAAAGATCGTCCATCTCGCGTTGGCGGTGTTGCCATTTACTATCGAGATTACCTGAAACCTGAGGCCCTTATAGAACATTCACTTGGAATTCCCGACCTAGTCTTATGCCGACTGCAGCTAGCAAGTCGAGATAGTGGCTCACAGGAAAAGACGCGTGATGCTTTTTAGAAGTTGTCTACAGGGCACCGAACTCCTCCACAGGCAGTGATGACATTCTGTTAAATGCACTCTAACATGCTGTTTCAAAAAGTACTCTAATTACTTTATAATAGGCAATTTCAATGTGCCTTCAGTGCTCTGTGTGTCCTCCATTGCACTGTCATTCAAAACAAAAACTCCTTGAATTCACGGATATGGCAGTTTTATACAACCATGTGCCTCGACAAACCAGAAACCGCGGTTCAAATAAGTCGTCATTACTGGACCTCATCCTGAAAAATGAAGAGTTGATGTTTGAGTCAGTCGCACACGACCCTCCACTAGGCAGCAGCAACTATTCAGTCCTAGCGTTTGGTTTCGTGTGTCATGCTAGTATGGTTGATAAAGAACGCGAAACCCAACGAACTATTACTGACTCCTCCAAGATTCACAACCTAGCGACTAACGTTGACTAGGGCCTACGGACTCTCAATTCGGTAAACGACGTATGGAATGAATTGAAAGGAAAAGTTATCAGGGTCATACGAGCAGCCTCAAAGATTGTACCATTGCAGATGTCGCACGGGACCAACAGTTGGTTATGAAGAAAAACACGCAAATAGATCAACAGAAGTGATGGTAATTGGAGGTAACATCCGCTAAGCCCATGTGCTACCACATGGCGGAACTACAAAACAACCGGCAACTACTGCACGTCACTCATAACAGCGGACAAGTACGCATGGCAGGAGATCATGGGACTCAAGTTTATGAGTAACAACAAACTGCTCTACAGGTATGTGAATGGCATACGAATGATTAAATCTGGTATTCACCACACAAGACGGCCAGTGGCTTAACGACTACTGCTGTGGATACCACGAAGGCACTACTCCTACAGTTTGATTCGGTGGCTACAAACAGCATGGAACTTTTGCTCTATCAACTCCCAAGAAATATCGTCGGCTTATCCGGTGCCACCTTTACCTCAGCGGTTATTGTAATCAAATTATAGTCTCTCCTGGAAAACAGTGCCCTGAAAATGGACAAGATATGCCCAAAAGTACTGAAAACGCTTACCTTCACTATAGCAGTACAACTCGCGGCCTTTTCCCAAGGTCTCTTTGACTCCCATACAATCTTATCTGAGTGGAAACGTGGAACCATCACTCCGATATACAAAGAAGATAAGCGATCGGATCCTGCCAACTACCGACCTATTACACACTTACGTGTTTTAAGAAAAGTGATGGAATCGGTAATCGCAGATGATGTCATGCTATATTTTGAAAGTCAGTAAACAATATTTCACCTCCAACTTGGCTTCAGATAAATACGATCTTGCCTCACCCATATGTTCTTGATCGAGACTCATGGACCTGAGTGGCTGGTGAAGGAATCCACATAGTTATGAGTTACGTAGACTCTTCTAAGACACTCGAAAGGGTCAATCACTTCTTTCTTCTGCAAAAACTTGTTGCCTACGGCATCAACTGATCCCTGCTCACCTGGATGCATGATTATCTACAAACGAGAACCATCAAGGTAAGAATATCCAACATGCACTCCGAAAGCCTGTGCGTCTCCAGTGATGTACTGCAAGGATCCGTACTCGGCCCGCTACTAATTTAGTTTAACTAAATGACCTCTCAGCAAAACTATTATCCCCGATGCAAATATTTGCAGATGCTACTAAAATATGTAGAGCAATTTGCTCAGCAGCCGACCGTGCCTATCTTCAAAAGGATCTGAACCAGATTAAAGAACGGGCAGAAAGGAACAAGCTCCCACTGAACTGCAAGGTGCCACCTGCTGACGGTGCGTAGCAGCTTCAGCAACACATATCTTCTGAGACAGCACGTTTTGCAACAGGTGACTAGTGAACGAGACTTAGGTATCATCTTTCAAGGAATTCTTGGCAATTTGCGTCAATGTTCGAAATCAGTGAATGTAGCGAATTTGAACTTGGGGCTTTTGAGGCGAGCTTTCGGCACCTTTGAGTAACGGCTAGTACCACTTTTGACCAACTCATATCTTCGTCCCCACGTTGAATATGCGATTCAAGCCTGGCGGCCATGGTTAAAATAAGATATTCGTCTATTGGAGCAGCCCCAAAGAAGCACCAAGGCAGCACGTGGACTTATCCGGTCTCACTTACAAACTGCGCCTTCGTGTATTCAGTGTGTTCTCCTCAGAGTACCGACGGCTTTGCAGAGATCTCATTCTCATATACCGGAAAATAACTGAGAGAGATCCCCCATATACATCACTGCTGACTCTATCTCTTTACAAAGAATGCCGAGGCCACCCCTTGAATCTAGTAACACAACACTCCCGTTTGGGTTGTAGAAAGTATTTTTACTTTCTAAGAATATGTTTCCATTGAAATGCACTACTAACGCATAAGACATCGCGACATTCGAGAGATTATTAGACTTTCATCTTAACGTTGAACTTACACAACAGTGTGATAAACTGCGATGTCTTTACTACTGAGAATTCACTTTCTACGTTGGAACATTTTCGGTTTTAATTTTGCATTTGTATATTTTATCTTCTGAGTATTGTAAAGTTACGCTTTTTTTCTCTCGAACACTACTGAACTATTGAAAGCGTTTAAAAGCCATGTCGACGGTGCGTAGAAGTGGGCAGCTTACCCCCTCAAACAGCTGATCGGTTAGCATCGCGGGCAGTAGACTTCTGGAAGCCAAAATGATTGCACCCAGACACATCACCGTCTCCAGCTCATGCGGTTCAATTTGACATCGGGTGAGGTGATTTGCGATGGGTAACTCACTATCTGGAGACGAGTAGAGCCGTCGAAATACCTCCGACAGTAGCGTGGAACACAGTAACCGAAGCACTGGTTGTGTGTAAAAGGCAAAAATATAGACTTGGTAAGAGACGCATACATTTTTAGATTGATAATACGGTGAAGTTGTTGAAGAGTGAGAATGAGCAATAGTGATTATTATCTGCGTACATCTCAACTTACAATTAGCACGAATTAACTCAGCGGCAACATATCAATTGATATGGAGAAATACTCACAAACCACACCCTGATGTGACCTCCAAATGAACCGGTTGAGTCGAAATGGTGGTGCGATGGCCACGAGTTCGATCTGTCACAAAACGCGGACTTGTCGCTTCGGCAGCTGGCGCATTATTTTCAGATTTTGATATAAGAAAAAATCGGTTGGTTATAAAGAACCAAACGGGTTAATCGTTATCACAAATGCAAAGTCATTGCTAACATTAGCCTACGCTGCAAGCTGTATTGTGCTACCGCGATATGGAATCTTCGTAACCGAAAGAATCCACACCCAAAGATGCAGTAACACGCACCACTACAAAGTTATTCGATGCACTGGTACAGCGGGTTAGCTGTCCATGGGCTAACCGAATTTGATAACTGACAGAATGATTCTAGTTGGTTCATCGCAATTAGATTCCAAGCCGCATACCAATCCGGAAAAGCACCAGACGCGGGTTTCGTCCCATTGGGGCTCGTCAGTGGTGCGCATCTATCGGTCCCCTACTGGGGATCGAACCTATGACCGCTAGAGGCTAACGCCAACTAACCAGCAGCTTGTGCCACTGAGCCATGGGGGATGACAGCCGACCTTTACGAATTGAAACCTACCTGTGATATAGCCCGACCCATCCTCCACTGCCGTGCAAGTTGTTGCCCGTGCAGAGGACAGTGTTTGGCCGTGGCGGTCAGGTCTTCTCTTGTCAGCGCCTGAAAACCTGACCGTGACGGTGAACACGTTTGGCTGGATACACTTGCTGATATGGCAAGGAGCCGACCTCAATGGCGTTCGTGCTGTGAGTTTCTTTATCCCTTCCCATCCCTTTTAGCCTCCCCCTCCACCTACGGTCTCATTTCGTAGTGTAAAACATAATATTTTCCTTTTTGTCTAGTAGCCGGCTGGTAGCTTACCGGAACGATGCCTATCCGTTGCTGGTAGCTCAGCTGGCATGCATCTGTGGTATTTATTTTCCTTTTCCTTTATGTATTGCGGCACAGTAGCTAAGGTGTTTCCCACCTCTAGCTGAAGTGTATAATGATGATGATGATATCTGACTACCTACATTTCCACTTATTTGTGACTGGAAGTTACGTGGCCCCTTTGTGGTACGTAGTCTTGTCAAGTGCCGCTTCGGTACTTATTTCTAAGAGTTATCTTTATCTTTATGTCACTGGTTGTGTCGGTTTTTGACTTGTTAACGTCCGGTTTGACTGTTTCCTCTATACCACTGACTCCAAGTGCAGCAGTGTCTACCATTTGCTTGCAACAATAGGTTTGTAAATGTTATTTTGACTTATAAGATATACCTATCAATCTCATCCTTCAACACGCTCGTGCCAATGTAGCTCTCATGATGGCCTAATTTGTTGACAACTTCCGTAGAGGCCCAAAGAGAGGAGGATAGGGACAACCTCTAACCAGTCCTACAGGAAAACATTGCGCTTGGAAGATGCGATGGTCATTCCCCTGTAGTACGAACATTTGCAGCATGAGTAGCATGTTCTAGCTACCCTTTTATGAGCCTCGGATTATATCGATGTCGTCTATGTACTATAAGTAACTAATTCGGTCATCCGGGAGCAGCTGGGCGCCACTGGCCATTTCAATTCATTGGATAATTAAATATTTGTGACCCAACTGGCGAGCTCAGTGAGCATCTAAGTATCCGAACGCACTGTTCCCCTTCACCTATTCGCCTGATGGTATTCAGTAAGGGATGAAATATCCACATTAGCGTTTGCTTCCCATCTCGCTACCCGAGCTGGGAAAAGGCGGTCGTCATAGCCACCTCCAGCAACCAAAGTATTTTAGGTACCCCAACCAACACAAAGTATAAGTGTTCTCACTCTGCTTATAAGTATTCACCGGAGCAAAAGCAGCGTTTCGACTCCAGACGCCTTTACGGTTCTACTAAATGTACGTCTGAGGATGCACGGTATGCTCATGAACCCAGTGACAGTAACCCAGAATCGTGTACACGATGACACAATGACATAAGTTTCTCTTGTAATTATATCGAAACTTGCCATTGATTTGTTCATCGGAAAACCCCCCAGAAAACGTTTAGGTGTAGGTGTTTCTTCAGTCGCCATATCTTCAGTCCATTCACACCGTTTTTGTCAAGCGCTTCTGAAGTTCAAGAATCTATCGTGCAAGCACACTAATACTCAGGACCTAACTAGTAAACTTTTCGAACTGCGATTTCGTCAAAGCTCAATGGCATGTGAACGCATGGCTATAAGGTTTGTAGTGGACCCGGGTGTTCCCAAACGAAGAACTCATGATCGACAGAGTGATTGGCGATGCTCCTGTGTACCGCAGTGATCAAGCGACCATGTTCTCTAGGTACATCTGTTACGCAGAATACACCAGAGGGACGATAGTATACTATGACAAAATGGCTACACTGGTTGAGGTGACGAACAAAGATTTCTTAGCCGAGGATGTTGACTGCGAAAGAATCGTCGGCAAGCCCAAACCCTGGCTGTTGGTATATCATCATAGACTAAGACTATCCGTTGGAGAAACATGGTTTCGTTTGAACGGAGTAGAACACGCAAATGCATGGTGGTTTGAAACGCCGAATGATATGCTCACAAAACCGATCCTAGCCTGAATACCTGGAAGACTTAGGCTTGCTACCTTAAGCACTGAATCCAACTAGTGCGCGAGGACAGAGTTGCATATCAACAGGCCTTAACATCACTATCTACTTTGGATCATAGGCTGCTGTAATACCATGTGAATAGCCTTCGCAAGGTGAAAAAGGGAATTCCTCCTCTTCTAACAGTGGATGGACCATCAATGAAACGTCGAATGTACTAGATCAGCAGTACATGCCAACTTTGCAATGTGTTCCATGGTATGCTAACCCGCTGAAATGTATTACGCCATCTCCTGTTTACGGCAGACAATGCTGTGAAATCTATTGTCTGTACACCCACACAGCTCCCCAGCAAATGATGACATTTACCACAAGATGTTTACTGTAACCGCTAAAGAATTGGCTGAAACTTTGGCACGCTTCTGTCTAACTGCCTTGATGAGATGCGTGTTTATACAGCATAGAAACATGGGATACTGATTCCAAGTTACAAAGTAGGTGGCCATTACTACTCCGCTAGATAGCGTCCAGTTGCTTTACTTCTAGTTCTTTCAAAACTTATGGAAACTACCATGTCTTACATGGATGAATTAGGGTATATTGCGCAAGGTTAACAGGGCTTCCGCTGGAATAGATAGTGCACAACCAATCTATTGTTAGCAGGAAACGGTTGGACCAGAACAATGGATGTTGTTGCAAGAGTTGTTGCTGTACACCTTAACCTTCCTAAAAAATTCAACCGATTACTTCATTGAATCTTTCTAGCCAAAAGTTAAGGAGTACATCATGAGTGATCTTTTTTTCGGGTGGATTAGCAACTTCCTCTAGTACAAGCGTCTTGAAGTGAAAGCGATTATGCATCAATTCCTATACAAGTGGACGGCGGTGTGCCACATGGTTTGATATTGGGGTCCCGGCTGTTCCTGATCACTTTTAGCCCTATGGTGAGCCTAGTCACTTCATACTGCTTTATGTAGACGTCAATAAAGTTTGGCGGCCGACCAAATCTTTAGACGACTGCATACAGCTTCAAAACGAGATCGATATGATTTATGAATGGTCAGCCCACAGTTCAAGGAGACTAAATGTGCAGTACTCCACCTAGAAATCCGAAGGGTTCGCACCTATTAGCTGGACAACCAGGATTTTCATCAATGTCCTCCTTAAAAGGATCTCTGTGTGGTGGTTCAGAAAAACCTTGCTTGTTCAGCGCAAACTGAAATCGATGCATTCAAAGCTTGGGAGGCTTAGTTAGAGGTTTTGGTCACGCTGACACTTCTATGTTTCCTCAACGGGTTTATGCATACATAAGCACTCACGTGGTATAAGTGATTTAAATATGGCAGCTATGGCAGAAGGTTGATCGCACTGTTTTGGAGATCCCACAATGTCTTGCCACCAAAAGCGTCAAATAGCTATCTTACTTATCCTGCGACCAAAGCCTGCGTATTTTGGGAGTTTTTAGTAGACGCTATCGAGGTTTGCTCAGAGACCTTAACATGGTTTACCATATTTTAAGCAACACCAAACACTCGTGCTATCAGCTGCTTATATATATATATATATATATAATCACGATCTGTCGTGCAGATATAGTGCCATCAGAACTATAGCGAAATATAGAAACGGGATCTGTATAAGGAAAAATAACAGGCAACAATTCGCTTGTTCAGTTTTACACCCACAGTTTTTGAGCGTTTTGGTATTTTGACTTATTAAAGGAAGGAAAGGGCATCATCGTAACGCGCAGATACACCTCCGCCACTGGAGTCCGTCTTGAGCCATATCTTCCAGGGTCTCCAATCTGCGACCCTCCGTATCTCTGGGACCCCAACCAGGAGCCGAGCTCGAGCGACCGAGGCAAGCCGCTTCGTCAGCTATTTCATGCAACTTCTCCAAGTCGTTGGTTGTCCACTGCACCGCCTTTTGCAGAACTGCACAGCAACCGCGAACAATGCACGAGGTGGAAGGTGTTGAGCGGGCATGCGCAACACGTGACCAAGCCACCGAAACTGGCGCAGCGAGACAACCTCCTCGAGCAAATGCCTCTCCTTCAAGATGCACTGTCTAACTTTCGCCTTTCTTAGGTGATGCAGCCATCACACACACGCACTGCATTGCAAGCAACGGTGCTAAAAGACAGACAGCCGGTGCAGACCAACGGTACGAAGAGGCAATGTCTCGCAACTGTACGGCAGTACAGCGCGGACCGTCGCATTATAAAC